TGTTGTTCCAGAGCCATGGGATACAGCCAGGTCTGGAGGTGTCTGCAGGAACCAGGAGCCCCCGAGCTCCTGAGGCGCTGGCCGGGAGCTGCTGGGAGAGCCAGGGAGAAGAGGGAGGGAGGGAGGAATTCTCAGCGGCGCTGGGAGGATTTCTCGGCCCCTGGAGGAGGTGGGAAGGTGTTCCTAAAGCTGAGGGAGGACGGAGGGCCCTGGGCAGATGCGCTGAGCTGGCACAGCAGAGGCAGGAAAGAACATTCCTGGTTATTGTGGGAATGCCTTTGTCAGCTCTGCCCTGTTCCACTCGAGCGAGAGCTGCTCCTTCCCACCATCCCGGCCGAGCTTTTCCATTCTGACTCCAGCCCTTAGGCCGGGGGTGGTGCCTTGGAAAGCTCCCTGGAGCCGCTCTGGGGCGATTCCAAGCTGTTCCTCGCTTCTGCCGCTCCCGCTGAGCCCGCCGTGTCCCAGAGGGAGCTCCGTGAGCCTCTCCCGTGTGGCTCCAGCGGCTTCCTCCCCTGTCTGTGCCGTGCCCGTGTCTCTCCTGCCCTTCTGAGGGAGGGAAACGCGGCCGGCGGGCTCTGCTGTTCGCCCAGGGGCTTTGCCAAGGAGCCAGCGATGGCCAGAGCGCCTCTCTGGGGTGTCGGGCTGCAGAGCGCAGTGCCGCTGCTGCCAGGCTGCCATTTGGGATCCTGTACCTGCTGGTAAAGCTTTCCTGCTGCTGCTCCACACCTCATCCTCGGCTCTTGGCCACCCCTTCCCTGGAATCAGCCTCTCAGGTCTGGCCGTGTAGCTGCGTTTGGGGGCTCTCCTTAGGCCGGCTGTGCTGACCTGAGCTGTGTCACATAACCCCACCACCAGGAGTGCTTCAGCTCTTGGGGTGATCGAGACAGAGCTGGGCCGGGAGCAGCTGCACAGCCATTATCGGACAGCTCTCAGTCCACATCCTCTTGTCTCTGTGTGCTGGGCACAGACTGGGGCAGCCTCTCCCCTCCTAAGTGGGACAGGAGCTGTGGAAGGTGGCATTGAACGCGGGAAGGAAATGAAGTGCTCCTGTCACATGGGAGACTTTCATACAGGCTGAGAGATAAATATAAAACAAAACGTAATTAAGTAGGAGCAGGCGCTTGGAAGCGTATCAGCATTTTTATGTTTACTTAGACTCATGCCTAATTAGTTTGGTTGCTGTAAACCTCTCTTGAGGGAGTAAATTATTGAAAGAAATCCCTTCTCAAATATTGTATTTGGTTATCAGATTTAAAAAAAATTTCAATGGTACATTCTCATGTAAAGGGTCATCCCAGTTTTTTCCAAGAGGAAACAGTTTTGTAACAAAAAAAAAAAAAAAAGAAGGAGCAAAACTCCAATTAAAAGAGGATGCTTCTGACATTTAAAAGAAGTATTTTAGTGGATGTGGCAGGGCATGGCATGACTGAAGGTGGCGCCGTAAGCTTTGTGTATCTGCTTCTCTCCTGAAGAGAAGCTTTGGAGTTAGACACGTGCTCAGTAAATGTCCTTTTCCACAGCATGTGGAAGTGAGAAGGAGAAAGGCTCCTGAGCACAACTCAGACTTGGGCAGAGAATTTACTGAAATGTTGTGCAGGATTTGAACTGTGTCCTTGCTGATGGAAATTTCATTTGCTGAGACAAGTAAAATTATGACTAGATCAGGCTCCATGAGATGTGCTGGAACTGGCATTGCTTATCACTGAAAAATCAACAATTGTATTTAGCAAACAATGTCCCTGTCCAAAGGCTCTATTGCCACACATTTCAGGAACTGTGGGAATTCCAAAACCTTGCTTCTTGCAGCAGGGGATGATCTGTGTAATCAGTGAGAATGCTGTTGTGTGCATGCCAACATGGGGCTCTGAGCAGGTAGGATTTGTAAAGAGACAAAACTTTTATTAAAATACATAGCTGGGAAAAGCACAATCCTATTTGGATCACTAATACATTTCCAGTCTGAAACAGAAATAGAAAGCTTTAATCTTAAGATAGTACTTAAATATTTTAGTTCCTTAGCAGGAGAGAGGAAAGGAACTCACATTTTTCCTTTCTGGTAAAACTATTGTAAAATCTTGGTATGTTTATTTTTATTTGTGCTAGTTTAAAAAAAAATCACTTTTAATATATATATTTTTTAATATTCTATGAAATTCTAACAAAAAGGTGCTTATCAGCAAGCTTTATTGTCCTTGGTTAACAAAGGTCAAGGTCAGTAAATTTTAATTCGTTGTAAGGGAATTCAGTGATGTCCTTCGGTATTTCAGCTAATGGCATTATGTGCCTGGATTCCTCAGTGTCCTCTCAGAACGCTTCCCCTGCAGTTTAAATACTGAGCATGAAGCTGTCCCTAATTAAAACCCATCATTGTGGAAAGCTGCTGTTGTGGGAGAGAAAATCTTTCCTTGTAGAAAAGCAGGTGGCCCAAATCTACAGAGAGAACAGAGTTCCTCAAAACTCCTCCTGTGCAACATCAGAGCACAGGCTTTAATGAATGTGATGGAACCCCGGTTACAGGTATTAATGCTGAGGAAATGAACATGGAAACAGTTTAATTTTGATGATTCAGTTTATTAGCACACACTTCTCTGTGCAGCCAAGCCTAAAATAAAGCTGTTTTGGAGCTTTTATCCTCCACTTAGTGAGGGTTCTTTGAACTGCCATTCAGCTCAGCAATGTTCCCAAAACGCCTCAATTCCAATTTCACTTTGTATTTCCACTCACAAGGCTTCACCCACCCTCCCCCTGCCATGCATTCTCTGGAGATCCTAAACAGTCTACAAAAATTCCATTTTATTGGCCAGGTAATGGTGTTATTTGAGGATTCAGATTGTTTAGGTGCATCCCAAGTAAGATACTGAGCAAGTGCTGGGACTCTGAAATTGAAGTGAGATGAAAGGCCCTTGCTGCTTCTGTTCCAGACTAAAGCTGGAGTTCTGGTGGGTTTTGACTTTCCTGACACTTCTCTGGGTTTACATTGGTACGAGCAGCTCCAATTCAAACACAATTCAGTTTGCTTGTAGGTTTGGGTTTGTTTTTGTGGGTTTGGGGTTTTTTGTTTTTGTTGGTTTGGTTTAGTTGGGGTTTTTTTGTGTGTTTTAAACCAAGCCATGAGCAACGTCTGTGTGACCACCACTGAACTCCCACTTGTTTGTTTTTAAGAATATCTGGTTGTAACATTTCTGGGCAGAGAAACTCACAGGGAATTGTTAGTTCCTGCCGATGGTCAGGAAGTTGTGATGCCAATTTGTAATGTGGTTGTGGATACCACATATAAGGCACT